AATCGTTTTCATACACACACCGATTTTAATTTATTATTAATTTTAATTGTTCATCACTTCCAATTACTGTTTTCCTACTTTTACAAATCAACTTTAACTATTATATTTTAAATATAATTTTAATACAAACTCAAAATTTCATTCAATCCTAATACAATTAACTTTTTTAAAATTAATTTGGTTGACCGAAAAATTCAAACAAAATCAAAATAACTTATATCCAATCACCCCTAAAGACTCGTGAAAGTTGTAATATTAAGAACACTTGTTGTTAGTCAAGCCTAATTGTGAGGCAGTTATATTTTTAAGCATACTTTCACATACCAGTGAGATACTTACAAAAATAATACATGCAAAAAATATAACAACTTATAATTTAAATATGCATTTTTGTACAAAATATGATGAATTGCCTCGCCTAACTATTAATTCATCTCACACAAGAATTTGTATTGAAAACAAATTGTCTGATTTTATCATGAAATGTCATTTTAACTAAAGCCAAAAAAAAAAAATATCCAATTGATTCCAAAGTAAAAACTATTGTCCCTTTAGTTCACTTTTTCCCCTTGCTTATCCAAGAAGAGAAGTGGGGGTGGTTAAAAATTGAAATGATGCCCACAAGCAACACTCATTTCATGTATGAACTAAGTCATGCCCACAACAAACTTTTTATCTCCTCACACATGGTGCCCAATATTGGTTGACAAACCAATTATTATGCAGTCTTTACTAAAGCTTCTAGCGAAAGGAAATGAAACAAAGTTCGAAAGTCCAAAATCTCACATTTTATCAAATAAGTCCTAATTGGCTAAACAACTTTCCAATGAGCTAGACTCTGGTAATTAATTAGTTTGTTGTACCTCAAGCGTGAAAGAATTTAACTTACTTAAAATTTATGTTTAAATTGTATACTAGATCTAGATCAAATAAAAATAATGCTTTCTCAGTTGCTTTCGGACAAATTTAATCCATAAAAAAATAGGTGAGATGAACCAACATAATTTTATTTTTCTAATTCTAAAGACATTTTTTTATTGAAAAAATAATTGTCAATAAGGAAAAAGGGCAGTTGTCCTTTTCGGAAGATCAAACTAGTGTGTACCACGTGTGATGCACGGGAACAATATTAAATTAACAATATTTGAATAGACCTCGAGTTTGAGTCACTCAATGGCGGAAGTGGAAACTGCTATTGATTCTATTTAAAAAGAGGAAGAAAAAAAATAATTATAAATTAAAGAGAAGGATAAACAATACTTAATAATTATAAATTAAAGATTCAGGGTCAAACAATGTAAAATTATTTTGTATAAGAGAATATAAAAAAAATTGATTACACACCATTTCAAAATTATTATTATACTTTTTTGTATGGTTAACTTATAATATTTGTAAAAATATTAGTAATTAGACCGATGGAAATTAGCTTCTTAAAGTAGATAATGGATTTTTAGTAGTAATTATGAATTGGTTTCTATTTTATTTTATTTTTTCTTTTTAAAGATAATGGATTTCTAGTAGTAATTATGAATTGATTCTATTTTATTTTATTTTTTCAAATCTGTATAAATAAGGGATGAGATTTTTTAAACACGTGAGGCCTATGCAATGGGATTTTGTAACATAACAGATAAGCTCGTGTAGATTTATACTAAAAATATGAAAAAGAAAAATAAATATTTATTGTCAAAAATGGTTTAATAAACTAAAAAACAGGAAAAAAGAGAAACAAATCTTTACACAATTAATGAGCCGATTTTTTTGCCTATTTAAATTTGTCCAATAATTACTATATGTAGGATATATTTAATGATTTTGGCGGGAAAAAATTTCTAAATTTGTAAAAAGGTTATTCTTTTTATATAATGATAGATGGAAAGATTTATGTCTGGTACTGATAATCAATCCGTGAAACTACATATTATGGCCAAATCAAACCTAACCTCGATGGTTTCCTATCTTTTTTTGTTTTCTTTCTAACTTCTTCGACAAAGAAAAACACACTTTCTTATATTTTCTAAAACATAAATTCTTTTTTGAACCGACCTAACAATTAGAAAATCGATCTATTACATTATAAAAAAAATGCTCATTTATATTATGATATGAAGTCGATATGTCACACCTTCATAACAAAAAATGCTCATTTATATTATGGAATGGCGTAGTTTTATTTATATATTTTTTTCAAAATGTGATATACATTTATTGAAAAGATTTTGTTTTCTAACTAGTCTAAGTTGATATAAGCATAAAAAATATCTCCTACCTCTCTCTAAAGTACTCTCGGCAGAAGAAAAAAAAGGAGATCTACCTGACGAGTGTGTTTGGGTGTTCGTGAGATGCAAAGGAGGTAGTATTCTACTATTATTAGTGTAGGTGTGTGTTGTAGTGTTTTTTCTTGTTTCTCTTCAGTTTTTTAGCTAGTTTTTAGTCTAATTGCGTATGGTTATTAGTCTCTTTTATGGATGCTTTTGCCATCTAATGTAGGAGTGTGTTTGGGTGTTCTCATGTGTACTCTATTTTGGAGTATTTTAATATAATTAACGTTAAAAAAAAAGCCAAAAATAGTATTACTATTTTTTCTAAGGTGTCTGGTTGATTACTCAGAGACTACTAACTAGTGCGTGGCCCGTGCGATGCACGGAAAAACAATATTACGATTATATTATAAATTATATATATAAATAACACTAATCATGATTTATCTATTGTTTTTAACTTAAAACGAATTGAACACAGTCTGACCGAATGGACCGAGAACCGATTTATAACCAGTCTAGTTCGCTTGAATAAAATATTTGTTATCAAATCCGTCAACACCAGTCGATTGGACTGATAGGACCGATACGATTTTTCAAATAAATTTTGTTACACTTAAAATTATTATAAATAAAATTACATATTTAAATAAAATATAGATTTATAAATTATTTATCAATTAGTTTAAACATTTTAATTTATATATTGTTTAGATATTAAGTAACACATTTTATTTAATTTATTACAAAAAGTACTATATATATATATATATATATATATATATATTAAAATGCTTATAAATTAAAATATGAACAAACCACAAATAATTTAATAAAATAGCTTGATCGTTTCGATGACGGTACGGTTCTGAAAACCTTATATTTACTGTACATTAATAAACATTGTTTAAAATATTATCTAATTCACATAAATATTATTAATAAAATGATATATAAATATTCATAAATCATTAAACATGTTGTCATAAAAGCATTGTTAATACGATTATTTGAAGTTTGGACTACATCACATTCACGTAATAAAATATTTTTAATATTAAAATTTATATTTAGGTTCAATAATCGATTTTGTCTGGTCAAACTGATATATAACTTAGTCACCTGGGACCAATGAAGTTGTGGCAACTTTTTTTTTTTTTACTATTTTACATACCACCAAAAAGTAATTCAATCAACCTGAGCAGTACCCTAATTTAATCACTCGATTGATCCAAATATATTTTTACTATTTTCTTTAAATATATTTAATTTTATGAAATAAAAATATTTTATGATTCATATAATTAATGTCTACACGAAACGATTGTATATTAAGATTATAAACTATATATCTAAAGATGAAATAATAATTTTTACTTCGTGCGCGGAATGTGTTTGGGTATCTGTGAAAAGAATTTTCAGCACAACAATAAAACTTTACAGTTTCTTTTATACTATTCTGTATATGCACGCGTATTAATAGATAACCACAATGTGTAGATAATATATTTTGTTATGATCTTATCCCTTGTATAATATTTATATTCAATAAGGGATATTGAATTTAAATTTAAACTTCAAAATTTTACATCTTTTATATGCGATTATTTATTCTGCCCGATTTTATGGCAATCGAATTGCAAGGAATTTTGAAATTTAAATTATCAATTAATATTGCATCTGATTTTCATTTGCAATTAGTTTTTTTGAATATATATAAACGGAGAAGATATAAAGTTTGTTACTATGCTGATTTTTTAATATGACCGATTTTTAATACTTAATTATATAAAATAAGATATGATATATAATCTAAAAACTGTTGCAATTAGTATAATAATATTTAATTTTGAGGTAGTTTATTTATATAAAAAAACTCTAATACTATTTTTCCTAATTAAAAATATTCATTCGATTTTATGCCAACAAAAAATTAAGAAATTGTAGAATTTTAGTTTTAAATTCGAAATGAGAGTTGATTTACAATGCAATCTTTTTTTTCTTTTTTTTCTTTTTTTTTTAATGCAATTAGTTTTTTTCGAATAAAAAATGAGTCAACTTTTGCATGTTTATCCACTCCTGTAAATTAGATGCACAAAAACAGAGATCATTTAAGGCCAACCGATTTTTTGGAGAGTGAATTAAAACATAAAATAATAAAATTAGCTAAAAATAATATGCAATTAACATGAGTTGACTTTTTCTTGTTACTATTTATGATAAATATTAATTCTTATTATATATACTAGTTGACCAGTGGCTGTGCACGCACAGCCGGCTCTAGTCCAGTCTATAATTATAACTAATATTTGGCAAATTAAAAAATACACAAACCCACCTTTTATGGCATTTATAAATCTAGCTTCAAATAACTCATCAACAATGCATAAGGAACTAAACAATGCAATAATATAATGAGATATCTACGAATTTATAAATTGCGTCAATAAAATTTTATTGTTGGAACACAATATTTGAGAAGATGCGTTGAAAAGCAAAAGATTAATTCTACTTAACAATATGAAACCAAATTTCCAATATCGATAATTACATATAATTGTTTCATGTAGAAAAGAACAATCAGCTACTCTCAGCTACTGTAGTAAAGGAAAAATTTGAGTTTCAGAACTTACAAATTGGTTACGTCCTGTTGACAAACGGTCAAAATGACACAAATTTACAATTCTCGACAAGTCCTTAGATCCAATCGCATCATTTTCATAGAATTTCGCAAGTTCATCTTTCAGAGCATCCACCTAAGATACGCGTCAGAAGCATAGAGCTCTCTCCATGTTTGGGTGTTAGGTAAATCCTTTTCAGCGCCAGCCTGCCCCTTTCCCGTGAACCCCACCCGTTCGCCATCACACTCATGTTACTCCACTTGTCCTAAAACCCAAACTGAGACCAACGCAAACTATTATGAAATCAGAACCTTTAATCCAGGTGTGTGTTACCGAACTGTATATTTTGGGATATTCTGTCAGATGACTAACCCAAATTTTACAAAATGCTTTTTATTAATTGAATAGATGGGCATTAAGGATGCAGGATTGGAAAGCAAAGAAACTAACATTTTTTGGCATCTGTAAAAACACTTCAATCAAAACTTTCTCCTCACCATGTGCAGTCCCCAGAACGACGCCATACAAGCCGGCCGCGACTCCTTCCCAGACGCCGCCGCCCAAATCTCCTTCTAATCCCGCTGATCTGTGCTGGATCAACTCAATCGGGACGCTGTTGGTCTTCAGCGGACCGCGGCCGTGCTTGAAGTTGGTGATCGCGACTGCCAGGAAAAACTATACCTTCAGATCAACATTGCACATTAAATGTAAAACACCATTGAATTGTGGGTCCTTGAGTACATGCGCTATTTACCTGGGATCATAAAGGAGAAAAAAAAGAGTAAGACATAAATGAACTCAACTACAACAGAACTATTTTGACAAACAAACAAAATGCCTCAACATTTGTCTTTGGTATGAACAACTGAAACAAGAAGCAGCAGTAAACAACATTTCAGCAGCTATTTTCGTTTTTATTCTATAAAAAGTCCTTAACTTTTCCCAACATATCTCTCCAGTTTTTTTAACTTGGCACAAAAAACTTCTGCACACACTCCTAGGCTTCAATGTAGGATGAACTCCATGCCGCTGGACACTTTTAGAACTCCATCACACATGAATCATTTGTACATTTTGTGAGTAAAGCGATCGATAGTAAAAATAAATAAATAAATAAAAATAGAAAAAAAAAAACATACCAATAATTTGATGATTAAAAAATGGAACAAAGCTAACAACAGTCACCAGTAGAGAGTTGCACCAGCCTTAGTAGGTAGCTAGCAGTAGTACAAGGTAGTCACTGGTATCATTGCTTACCAGTCATGTAAATTATTGGTTATAAACTAAAGCTATTGTTTTCAGGACCTCCATACACACAATAAAAGTATTACGGATGAGTACTACAAAGTGTCAAAAGTTTAACCCCAAGATTTAAGTACATGAAGCTATTAATCAAGTTTATAAAGAATAATAACATTGAAAACACCTCTGTTACCGAAAGTGCAATCTGTAAAAGCAAAAACAAATTAAAAATTACCCATTTCCGACAAGAAACCAGTGACAATCTTGAAAATTCTACGGTTTCTCACGTATTTTACCAAAACTCAGGACAAAGGTTTTTATTTAACCCCAAATGGTAAGTTATATAAATTTTTGCAGTCTTCATAGTCCGTTATAAATTATAAATGAAACTGAAGGCACCGAAACTTAACAGATTAAGATGATAAAATCCAAAATGCAAGCAACTTAGGAGCAGCTATTCAGAACAAACTGACGTACCTCGTTCAGTAATAATTCTTGCAATCGACTTCTTCTCCCCTGGTTTAACCACCACCAGAGCTCCAACATTGTGCTGGGTCATCTGCATTTGAAGAAATAAAACAAGGGAAAAAGAAACTAAAATTGAAAAATGATCATGATCATATCTCATTTTCATCTTTCAGATAAAAAATTACGAAAGCAAACATGAAGATTTACGGTGGGGCATATAGGGGGGAACAGGCAAACAAACAACGCCTGGATAATTACAAAAACCACCAAAAGAGCTTAAGCTTATTTAGAACTGATTCCAGCTTATATAAAACTACAAACACCCTTTCGCATCCCCTGCATACCTTATCGAAAACTCATTTTGAGGCTACAATTTGTAATAGACAAATAAACGTCAACTCAAATTTTTACCTAATTCAAAATCTCAAAAGATAATTGAAAAACAAAGATGTGTATTACTGATTTCACGACTTCATACAAATTGTCATCAGTCGTGCACCAGAGCCAGGACCCATCCGCGCCCTTCCCGTTGGCTTTCAGAACATAAAAAATTGTGGTGCTCTCAAAATTGTGCTCTACGATTGGGGCCACAGAGGTTTACTCTTGGCGTGAAAATATCGGAGTCCTCGTGGCTGGTGGAGCCACCCGGACATGGCGAAGAATCGCATTCTCGAGAACACTACCATTCGATAAGATTTCTTTGATTCCTCCTTGCATTGTGCCTTATCTAGCAAAAACAAGAAAACACATATCATTATTGTAAGTCGATAAAAGTATCATAAGTTTGATTTAGCTACAGCAGGTTTTGCTATTGATAATCCTACTTGTGATTCATCACTCGTTGGTGTTGAATTCCACCCACTCGCACCCCTGCTCGCTGGCCCGCTTCACCACCGCGAAGTTCTGCGGCACCACCACCGCCTGACCCTCACGGACCTCGCCGTCCAACACCGCCCAACCCCGGTGGTTCACAATCTGCATCCGGGACGCACAGCGCGTGACGTACAGGAAGCTGTGTGCTTTCACGAACCAGTGCAGCGCCATTCCCGCGTTCTGCCCAAAAAAAAAGAAAGTTGGAAATTAATTTGATCAATGGCCTGTTAATAATTGGATGTTGAAGCAATTAATGTGGACTAATTTGAAATCACTGCGTTAAGCCCCTCACTCTGTAGAGGATCCCTTGGTGACGCTGAGGCGGAAGAAGCTGAGGGTGGGGAGTGTGAGACTGTTGATGGAGGTCAGACCCTCTCCGTTTTCGTTCTCTGCGTGCGCGACCATGCCGCCGACTGCATCACCACCTCCACACGCCGACAACGCCATTCGATCCGCCAGCGTCGCCTCTGCTCCTTTCGTCTTGAAGGCTCGGAAGAACGGAGGAAAGTTGTGTAGAATTTCGATCCGGCTGTAGATCGGATTTTTTGGTCAAAGATACGAAAGAGATTTTGGGAGATTTTGGGCAGAAAACCGATACGCATTATCAGGAAAATCAAGAAAGTTGTCTCTCGAATGACCAATTTATCCTCAAAAAGCAGCCCCAAAAAGAAATAAATAAGGGTCATTTCAGTAAAAGACATACAACAATACAAACATAAAAGGTACGGAACCTGCCTCACACAATGGCACCACCCGTAAATATAGCTGAAATTGGATGGCAGTTTTTTGAAAAGGAATCGACACGTGTCAGGCCCTAAAGCTCTCACACTTTTTCTTATATGTAAGAGAGAGAAAAAGACGTACAACAATACAAACATAAAAGATACGGAACCTGCCTCACACAATGGCACCACCCGTAAATATAGCTGAAATTGGATGGCAGTTTTTTGGAAAGGAATCGACACGTGTCAGGCCCTAAAGCCCTCACACTTTTTCTTATATGTAAGAGAGAGATATATAGATACATACAGACATAGGATGCTGACTCTCCTTTGGACACTCCTTGAAAATGACTCCCCATGAATATTTTATGTTGTAAGTAAACAATGAAAGCTAATCTTTCAGTCACACCATAATCGATAATTATGTTAACATGGGGTATGTAAGGAAATCTTTTTTGAAATAATAGAAATTGAAAAGGATTTTCAAACCACGGGATGACGTGTAATGAAACTTATGACGGTCCTTTAATGGATATATACAAATACATTACATACAGTACTGAAAATCAGGGTAAAATATGCAAAACTCCCTGTATTATAGGAAATCTACATATTTTTTTCTGATATTTTAAAAATTGCATCAGACCCGCTTGTATTAACTAACTGTTGCACGATTCCCTCCTCTTCGTCCAACTTGACGGCACGTGCAGTACACATTTCTGTAATGCGAAATCTGTAATGCAAAAATTATTTGTTTATTTATTTATTTTTTTATTCTAAAATTAAAATTTACTATTTTGTCCCTTACTTTTCTACCAATAATTGGGCAAAATTAAAGTAAAATGCTGCTACTAAGTTTCAAACTTGGGCCAAAAGACTAATAGGCAAGGCTTCAAATCACTTTGCCACCATCATTATATGGTACTAACCTAACACACATTTATTTAAAACTTTAGAACACAAGAAAACTTAATCAAATAAAAATTAAAAAAATAAAACAATATAATTAAAATAAAATAGAAAAATAGAAAATATAATTAAAATAAAATATAATAAAAATTAAATATGAAAATTAAATAATCAATATATTACTATTTAATATAAAAATAAAATGATAATTTCATTTAAATAAATAAAAAAATATAAATATAAAATAAATATGAAATATATGTTTTTATGAATTGAAGTAATATAATATATATAAATAAAATTAAACTAAATTAAATTAAGTTAAATTAAATTTATTTATAATAAAATAAAATATTATTAAGTAGTAATTTGTAAAAAAAAATACTTTGTATTCAATAAATATATATGGTTTGTATATATTTCTTTTATTTAGTTTTTATAATATTTTATCTTTTTTTAAATGTTCGATAAATATATAAATTTTAACTTTTTTTCAATAAAATTCTTATTTTTAAATTTGTAATAAATAATTTAAGTACTTATTATTTATTCAGTTTACTTATTTTAAATTTTGTTAAATGTATAATTAACAAAAAATAAAATTTAGAATTACAAAAAAGTAATTAAAATATCAAGTATCCTTTGTTATGAGCTTTAAATAAGATAAATAAGTTTTGATTATTTTAATTATTTTTAAATATGAATAATATAATTCTTTATTAAAATTTTAACCTTATTCATAATTTCGAACCTCTTTATTTAGTTATTGAATTATTTACAATTTTTAATATATTTACTTAATTATTATATCATTTATATTTTAAAATATAATTTATTCAATTAATATAAATATTTATAAATTAGAATATAATTACTTAAATATACATAATTTAATGATAATTATAAGCTATAAGTAATATAATAATTCAATATGTATATTTTATAATAATTGAATAAATAGATTCTAATATATTATTTATAATTAAGAATCTATTTATTCAATTATTATAATATATATATTGAATTATTATATTAATTATAATTTATTTCTATCATTATATTATTTATATTTTAGAATATATTTGATTAATTATTTAATTATTTATAATTTAGAATTGTTTATTAAATTATTACAAAATCTATTTAATTAATTATTATATTATTTAAAATTTATAATCTATTTTATTAATTATTATATCATTTATAATTTAGAATATTTGTAATTTAAAATAAATTTATTTAATTATTATATATTAGTAATGTAGAATATATTTACTCAATTATTATATTATTTATAATTTAGAATATAATGTAATTGTTAAATAATAGTAATTTATAATCGAATTTCTTAATTATTATATTATTTATAAGTTAGAAAATATATACTTAATTATTACATTATTTATAATTAATTATATATACTTAATCAATATATTATTAATAACTTAGAATCTATATATTTAATTAATACATTATTTATAATTAATTGTTATTATATTTTCATTCTATACGTTAAGATATATATAAATAGAATCACATTTATAAGTAAATGTCTAGTTGCCTAGTTGGTGGGAGATACCATTTTTAACCCAAAGGTACAGGGTTCAATCCCCACCATTGGGATTTTAATTTTAAGTTTACATATTGACAATTTCCTCTCGCGATAACCTAACCCCCCAAATCTCGCCGGCGTCGCTCCAAATTACCTGACGACTGGCCTTCTTCGGTGACGGCGGAGCTCTGGCCAGGGGTCGTCCTTGACCGCTCCGCCCTCTTGGACGACGCGCACATCTGATGTTGCTGTGGAAGGGCTGCGAGCGGCGGTCCGATTCTAGGTTGCTGACAAGGTTTCGGTCGACGGTGGCATCCCTCACGGTCGGCGTTTGACCGGAGATTGGAGCATTCTCTTCAGTCAACGGTGGACCTTCGATAGGTGACAGTAAGCCCCTTCAACTTCGCCTTGTCTGTGATATTTGGAATCTGCCTCTTCCGGCGGGGCTCCCGCCTCTGTTTGGTGGGGCCAGGGCCTCTGATCGTAGAAGCTCCGTGGTGGTGTTGGGCGGAGAGTGCGTCATCGGGAGGGTGGGACTCCGTTGGCTGCAGCTTTTCTAGTTGCGGCAGTCGGGGTTGAGGGACCGAACCACCCTCACCCTCCCCTATTTCGGCTAGGGGTGTTAGACGGGCCCGGGTGGGCGGGTGTGGGGGCTGATCGATTCTCTTTCGGTTGGAGATGGGTTGATTCGGGGATTGGTTCGAGGCTCGGGTTCGGCTACTGTATAGGCATTGGTGCAGTTTCGGTAGTGTTTTCTTTGGCTTGGAATCTTTCCTGTGTCGATCGTTCATCGCTGGTTGGAACCGTTTCGTTTGCCGATGAAGGGCTATTATGTTATTTTTTATTTGTTATTAGTGTTTTGTGATGTCTGTGTATTTGTGTTTTAGGTTTGGGCCGTTGGTCCCTGTGAGCCCGGGTGTCACCTTATTACCCCGTTGGGGGCCGACACTCGGGGATTGCCCTGTTGGGGCCTTTGTATTGTCTTTTGTGTTTTTAGTGCTCTTGTGTTTTACCTTGTTGGTGTCATATCCCGTCTATGGGATTTCTAGGCCGCTCTATAGCGTGTCCTCTCAGTTTTTCTTTTTCGGCTGTGGGTCGTATTTGTATTAGAACTTTGTTCTCTCTTGAGGTTTGATATAATATCTCTTTCGTTCCGAANTGAGATTTTAATTTTAAGTTTACATATTGACAGCAGGGTATAATCGTAAATTCATTGATAAAGCTAGGGTATAATGGTAAATTAAACAAAAAAGTAACGCCGTCAGTATTAAAGTAACGGTGTTAACATCAAATGGCGAGTCTGCATGTGAACATTCAATACAAGGGAATTTGACGCAAATTTTGAAATATCAAGATAAAACGCGCATGTTTCATATAATACAGGGAGATTTGGTGCAATAAACCCCTAAAAATCAACAGCACTTAGGCCAATTGGCCGACAATTCAAGACATGGGAAGGATATTAGTTTGTCAAAATTGATTAAACAGACAATTTTAATTGGATTGTCATTTTAAAATTAAACATATATCATGTTTTTAAAATGAATTAATATATGATAAACCATTATTATTTCAGTCCTTTGTAAATTTCAGTTTAATAACTATATTTATGAATATTAGAAATTTATCAAAACCATTTTTAATCAAATTTTGAACTTAAAATGACATGAAAATAATTTTCAAATATAGTTCCAACACATGACTTCCACGATAACCCAAGGTATTCTAACCAAAATATATATTTATACTATGAAATATTATACTTTAATTTATATTATTTTTAAATTTAAATATTTTGATTTAAAAAGTATATAAATTTATTGTAAAAATCTATACTTATATAAAAAGTCATCCTATTTACTAGAAATAATAGGCAAAAAAGTCAAAGGTAATTAATGCATTCTATTTCCATCAAGTATTTAATGTCAAGCCTATAAATAAAGATTTGATCGGTCAAATTTAAATCTTATTTTACGTCACTCATAAATAAAGCAAATGCCAAGCCTAAATTGAAGGGTTTAGTTGTCTATATAATTATTGATTTAGGTAAATACATCTAATGTTTAAAGTTTGTGTAGATTGAAAAATTCCTTCTTATCATTTTACAAAAAAATCTTATCTAATTGTATGAAAAATTTGTTCTGATTTGTTGCTCTAGATGTAATCTGATTTCCGTAAATTGAAGGGTTTAGTTGTCTATATAGTTATTTATTTATGTAAATACATCTAATGTTTAAAGTTTGTGTAGATTGAAAATTCCTTCTTATCTTTTTACAAAAAAAAATCTTATCAAATTGTATGGAAAATTTGTTCTAATTTCCTCTAGGTCTTTAATAATATATGATTATTTCTTTGTCAAATACTATCTTATTATACAATTTTCCTGCATATTATAAAACTTTTATTGAATATTGCATCTTATAATATAATATTTCTCAAATAAATATATCATGTGTCTCACACGTGTCACGTACTATATGTATCCCGTACATTTTCCTTATTGATGTATATAATTATAAGCTTGAATAAATAGCCTTAAAATTATGCATCTCGTGCATCGCATGGACTCTGTACTAGTATGGCTGTATAACTGTTGAATCTACTGAATCTACTCAACAGTACTCTAGTATAAATTAGGGGTAAAGGAAGTTATGGGATCCATATATACTTTTGATGCTAGACCACAACCGTGTGGGCCCAAAACTTTTGCATTTTTAATTAATTTTATTCATATCTAACACGCTTTTAATGAATATGATCGGATTATAAAGGCGTATACAAGACAAGGTTTTCATACTTTAGTATAGTACAAGATGGAATATAAAAATAACTCTCTTAAATTATTGAACTCAAGGACCTCAGGGATGTCTTCATCTTCAAGTAGGACAAAGGTCATTGTTGTTTTCGAGTGAAATAAACAAAGGGGTTCGTTTCGTCACACAAACTAACCCGATAATTAGCTATTCTAATCATATCAAATAAACAAGATTAGTTTAATGCGAATGGGATTAGGTAGGATTATGTAACCTACGTTTGTTGAAATATTAGATCCTGGAATTTTCGGGATGGTGGGAAGTACTCGATGATGTCCACAGGGCCCATGTAAGTCTTTTTAAGTGATAAATTATGTGATGATAATGCAATGTTGCGCTTGGAAGTTAAGAAGATAAATCAAATCGCTTATTTTTTTGCTACTTTATTATATACCTTTCCAGTGAGCAAATGATCTCACATACGGACAACCGATACGAAAAAATCAGAACAGGACTATTAAATTTTAAATTCTCAATGCTAATGCACACATAAAAAAGTAACTTCACTGAGAAATTATGTAATCGCTACTTTAAGTCCTAGTAGTTTCAGATTTCCTTGATTGGTATTAACTGATATGTTTACAATTAGGACAATAACTTGAGCCAATCATTTGGCACGAGCCAATTAAGTTGGCTCGTAGTCTAATTATTTAGCCTACTAACCCTTTTCATTTATATAAATAAAATTTTAATACTCATACTCATTTTCTTGTTATTGAATATACTAAAATTAATTATTATTTCTTTTTATACTTAGTTATTTTGTTTATATATTTTTAGTAAAATAAAACTAACCCATTTTGTATATAACTAGCAACGTTTATTACACATCAATATATTTTAGAAAATTTTGAGCTTTATTGTATGTTAATGCGACTTAACTAAAATGCAAAATTAAATGTTTATGTATACTATAGCTAAATTTATTCCATTCAAATTTCTAATTAGCCCGAAGTCCACTATGTTCCAGGGTGAGTCTCCATTCTCGTAGCCCGTACAAATCTAGACTTGTTTTGGGCCTTTTAGCCCAAACTATTTAGCCGGAATACCTACTATAACTAGAATGTTTAACATCTTTAGGACCTTAGGTACGCGCACAGGAAATAGTGTCATAAAACAACAAATACTATCTGATGTAAGATGTACTGGCATGAGCATTTTGTGTTAATATAACCAGAGCACCATACAGACAAACTGTGTTTTTGCAGAATGTTGGTCCAATCTCTCAATATACCAGAAAAATGAATGGGGTGATAATGGTTGTATTAAAAAGACATAACTGGTATATTAAATTGAGAAATATAAAACACACCTGGAGAAGGAATAGCATTTAAATTCAGGAATCCCTTTGATGGATGGATGCATATTTCTGTCAATGACCAAAGTATCAAATTATTGTAGATGCATTTTTTGATCTTTTATTTCATTTGATCCCCTAAGAAGCACACTCATAAAAGTGGGGCCCAAAGTTGGATTAATTGGTTTTGTGAACTGAATTCATGAACAAGCATATACTTTCAGAAAGATATGGGAGAAGAGATGATAACAATTCAGTCCATAAGAAGCTTCCTATTGCGAGTGATAGCTGAGCTGATTAATACCAAGGAGCTGATAATTTTATCAAGCTATAACATCAACTTCTTTGTAACTAAAAAAAAAAAAAATAAGATGATGACAGAAAATATATCAGTATACAATAAGGTTTTAGCTAGAGCACACCATTTGTCAACATACCAATGCTATTGTGAGTTCAGATTACTTGTTACAATTTTCAAGTTGTGGNGCACTGAATAAAGCTACTCTTTCCCTAAGGAGCAGTTTGTGGTTACTAAAATCCTAGATAAAGTTTACGAAACACTTTAGATTCAGTATTTACCTTGATTAAAAACTGGAATTGACTAATTCAGTAAGGCAAGCATGTATTTATTGCAGAAATTGGAGTAGATTGCTTAAGAAAACCATTACAACTTTCATTTTTCTAATAAAATTCCTGAAAAAACATAAAATCAGTGTGGGGAATGGTTGCCTAGTTTTTACCATCTCCCTTTCCAATAAGCAAGCAGGAAAAACCTTCATCAGTTTCCTCATCAGAGTCGAGGACAACTCTGCTTTCCTGTTCCCACATCAATATTCATTTATAATATTGTCTTGTATTGTAGTCTATAAACTTAAAACGAAAATGCCATGCCACTAATTTTGAAAGAACTTGAAATGCTGATGAAAGTTGTACCAATGTGTGATTCGGACAAACACCAGATAAATGGCATAATATTATTAGATATCATTGTTCATCAAAATCTGAGTGTACATGGTTTGTAGTATGATCAGGTGTCCTCTTGCCAATTAAGGTGACATACACAAGGAGAAAAGAAGTTAGACAGCCAATGAGCTACCTTTCGATTTAGAGATTCTTTTATCTGGTTGTTCCTCCTAAGATTTCCAATGGCCCTGGTTGCTCTTTCTTGTTTGACTGATGTCCAGACTCCAGTTTCAACCTTCGACTCTTGGCCTCTTTGCTGTTCTTTCAGGTGAGTTTTTGCACTCCATGCGACAAAAACGTGACAGTCAATGTAATAATTAACTAACAAGGACATTAAGACATGTCCTGGAGCATGTATATATAAAATAAAAGCAGTCAGGCTATGTACTGAAGCAGGTAATCAGAAAGCAAAGATTTTTTACGACCTTGATGCAGTGCATAGGATAGGTGGCCATAAAATACCTTCACAAGATCAAATTGACTTGTCAAGGGATAAGGGAAGTGAGGCTAGCTTCTACTTTACATGTATAATCTGACACATTTCTTCAGACTATTTATGTTGAAATCTTACTTTCAGCTGTTGACATTCTACGTTCTTATCTACTCCCTTGCGGAAACATTGTTAGACGGGTAGGGACAGTTAATGCAAATTGTTTAATACGACAATACTCAAGCTATTTGCTCCCATCATGCTTGTATCTAAAAGTTTACCTTGGTTGGGGAAGACCATAAAAACATCTAGAAAATTTGTGCCAAAATGCAGAAGCTCAAAAACTACGAAGCGGGATAGAAGAGGGTAATTTTGAAACTTGAGCAATTTAAATGATGAATGCAATGAAGCACTAGAAGCTTGTACATTTTGTGCACCAGAACAGGACTTGTAATTTTGGCCACACCTCCATGAAACATTTAAATTCCTCCAAGTTAACTGTATGCTTAAGCCATCTCGGAGAATTCAAACAACATTGACAACTCAAAACATATACATAAGTTAACCTACATAACAGCACAAATAAATTTGGTTTGGAGTTGATGAATGGGTTTTGATGAGGATGAAGATACAATGCCTGTTAATGGGAGCCTAGAGAACATACTTGTTTGGATACTGAACTTCCTGGTGAGAAACATGATGGCTGACAGCCTACAAACAAGTAGATTAAGTAAAGATCTCTTCAAAAGTTCTTCAAGAAACCATCAAAATTTAAATGTTACTTGTTCTCCATCTCTTACATTTGCAAAGAAGCTTACCATAGGCGCATTAGTGGAATCAGTTGCTTGTTTTTGTTTGGAAATCATCATGCTGCACGACATTGCCTACATGTAAATTGAACAGAGAGATAAATTCTGCTGGAAATTAACACAAATGTAAGACATGATATAAAAGTCAATCATTGTTCTCCAATGATATACACACATGCCTGTATTTCTTTGCAGAAATCCATGTGGAGGTCATTTTGCAATTTCACCAGGCGAGTCTCGAATTTCTCTGATAGAGCTGAGATATTTGAGACTATAGGCTCCAAACTCTCTTGGTTGACTTTCTGCTTGAGTTGATCGGTCATGGATTTCAGGCCCACATCCAGGCACATTTTGATGTCTTCTTGTCCTTTGCTCTGGTTAATTATAAATAATTAACTTAAAATTCAAGTGGCGCTGGAACAACGGGGTTTCAGAAAATTAAAGCGGCAGGCAAATAAAATTTTACCACTGATTGCAGTGTGTCATCTTGAATGTTCAATTTCTGCTCCACTGCTTTCACTGCATAAGGAGAAACAAAGTCAATTTGGTAACAAACCATGTCTTCTTTTAGCATAGCCTTAAAGGTCAAATTACAACAAGGTTTAGCATTTAAAGCATGAGAGTAACTAATACTGGAGGTAAGTATAGAACTACCTAAAAGGTAACAAAATTCACATAAATCATACACGGTCATGCATCATTTCTGAAATTTAGAGACAAAGCAGCCTCAGGTGAAACTCCCTGGGAATAAGCCATCAAATTTCTCACTTGCATGATTAATCTGGGTTTCATTTTCAATAGAGGTGTGGTATACTCACTTTCCATTGATACCTCCTTCGTACACCTGTTTACTTGGATTACATCACTCTGAACAGTGTCCAAAATCATTCCAAGCCTGCTTAATGAAGTTTCCATCACTCCAATTCTGTGTTCAAGTTCTTCGTTACTCTGACCTGCTAGTCGAAATTAAGATGTCTGTAGTTGAGTGACTAACTTTAGTCAGACGAGAAATATCATGATAACTTTTTTTAATCAAACAACATGAACCACAGTTTCACGTAAAAGCTCTCCCTCAAAATCAGAATGGAAGGAGAAAACATGTCTACTCCAGCATAACCATTGAAACACTTTAAGAAAAATTAAGACTGTTGAATAGTCCACCTTCACTTTAAATTAACAAACAGGCCAATGATAAGTAGTAGCATTTTCCATCACTGTGAATCTTACTTTTGTATTCTTGATCAGACCACCTGCGCATCATATTGTTGGAAGTTTTAGATATCATCTGACTGTCCTCTCTAGTTTGACTGATTGGGGGCTGGCAATATGACCTCCTAACTGAATTCTCTCTTTCTTGGTATCCCAATTTCTGCAAAAAAAAAAGACAAAAATCGGAAGTTAGACGCAAGTTAGCAAGAAAGGGATGACCATACTAACAAAGCCAATAGTTAAATAAATAAGATAAGCTTCATCCTAAATATATGGTGTTTTTTCTTGGTTTTGGTACATTTAGTCAGCAAAATGGTCTCATTCTGTAGAAGGACGTGAACGACCAGTTTCAATGCATCATCGAGTGGAAGAATAAAAGGGTGTGAGTGAGCAACCAATTTACATGGTAACAATCCTTCTCAAGAAGCTGCACCACCAGTTATAAAAAACTAATTGGAATTATGTTCTGTAAGTCTTCTCCTTAACTATAAGTCTGTACGTGAAAATAAATGTACATTACAGTTAATTGATAATGCTATTGAAATTTTCTCCCTACGCGTGATGGTGGTAAAATTGGCGCATGTATATCGTTTCAGATAACCATACAATTTCCAAAATATTGTAAATTAGCATGAATACTCAATGAATCGTATCATCCAAAAGCACATGGAATAGAATACAGGGTAGTTCACCAAACTATTTGTTACCATTTGCTACAGCTTTCCATGAAAGAGAGTGTCAATGATCATCTACGTTAGGCATTAATAATATTTGATAATTTAAATGTATATAATGAAGTATAATATTTGATAATTTACATGTATATAATGAAGTATAAGTGTATAACACAATCACCGACACATGTAATTTTTTTAAAGAAAATGCACTTTAATTATTCAACAATATTACAGAACCAAAACTCTTCTTAGTGTTCGAATGAACTCAATTAACATAGAGCCTCCTTTCGCTAGTCCTAAACCATGACTTAGTAGCGACTTAGTTCCGTTACTGGGACTGGTAAGAGTACGGCTTTTATTCCGCTCAACAGAGCTCAGAATATTATATATGCTATTTCTGAAGGTACTTTCCAAAGACCAATGCATGCATAACAATACTCATTTACTACCTCGCCAGTGAGGATCTCATCCTGCGAATTCTGTGACAACTGAGAGCAGAGACCATGCTGAGATGAAACTCCCTGTGAAAGTGTCAGCTGTGAATGCCGTGGCCGAAGCTGTGATGCTGTTTGGCTTCTCCCATAGGTTGAAGAGGACTCTAATCCACTAGTAACCACACTCGACCTCCTTGTTAATCCATCCCCAAACACACATACACACCAAAAAAAATGAAAAGCAAGTAATCAGTATCATAAACCATTTTATTATCAAATAATTCACCAATTACGCCGTTCTTATCAGTAAAACGCCCATCAGACTTCGCCAGTTTCAACTTTCAACACTGCCCGAGTTTGTATTTGGAGAATTTTTGCTGCATTACTCTAATAAAATGATTATAAACTACACCAGCAACTCTAATTACTCTGCGTCTACGCTAATCTTCAATTAATCACGTCATAACATGAATGTGTGTTCGTGTGTGTGCGTGAATCTACAACGAGCTACATATCTCCACACAAAAAATCAAAAAGTGTGTTGAAGAAGAAATTGAACCTCGATTGAGGAGGAAGAACGGAGATGGAGCTGAGATCTACGGCTTTGTTGATCTTCATTTTCATTGTCGCAAATCAGGATCTCGGGGAACCCTAGCACACTGCAACCGCTACAAATTCGATGAAAAAAATCACTTGGAGTAATCAATCTCAGGCATAATTGCTTTCCTCTTCTCCTTTGAGGGTGCTCGTGCGTTAGTGGGAAAAATGGAGCTCACGAGTGTGTTCATGGAGTCGTGGACCGCTTATATACAGGGAGATTGTAGTGAAAATGGCGGGAAATAGGTGAGTGACATTTGGGCTTTGGCCCGGTATTTTTGCCCGTTTGCAGTTCGGACCTTTTTGGTATGCTGAGCAATGAGCCGTAGTCCTGTGGCTGTGGGCTGTGGCCTCTGAAATTCTACATTAGATATGTTTTTTTTTTTTTTATTAAAAAAAAAAGTTGATTAATTATAAATTATTTTAATTTAAGATTAATATATAGAAAATAATAATTAACTATGATGTGATGATGAAATACTGAAATAATTATTAGTGTTTATATATATATACAAAAATGCTTCTTGCCCCGTCAAGCTTCCACCGTATTGAGTACTCTCTAATGTGTCAACTCACGTCACTAATCTCAACGTGATCACTAATCTCTGTTAACTTCGTATTTGCATTTTATCTCTCTCCATTTTTCTTGTTCTAATTTCCCCAAATCGTCCCATTTTTTTCCCTATCCTTTTTCACTTATCTCTCTCCATTTTTCTTCTTCTAATTCCCCCATAAATTTTAGGATTTTCAAAGATTTATTAAAATTGAGTTCTCTCTTCTTTTGTTGCTGCAAAATAAAATTGGTTCCAAAATAAGGAATCACAAATCATACGGCTCGCGAACGCGGATGGAAGGCTCGCGCATCACTTATATACGAGGGTATAAATGGTATGTTTTATAAATATAGTAAATGTTATGAATAAATTTGTAATAGTGATTGATCTTTTATTAAAAAATATATTGAAGGTGTGAGTGAAAAAATAAAATAAAATAAAGATAGAGAGTGGGAGGTATAGTTTATGTGTATTTTTTAGTTAATTGTAGATGGATACATTAATTTGAAAATGTATTAAGGTTATGTTTGGTAAAACCAGCTGATAGCATCCTGATTTAAGGAATGACTAATTATTGGTGCCAAATAATTAAGATTAAAAGATTAACTAATAATTATATGAGTGTTAACTAAAAATTGTAAATTAAAATAAATTACTTTGAAAATGTATTCAATAGCAATTGCTCAATTTTTTCAAGAGAGTTGTAAAATCATGGTGTATTTATAGGCATAAGAATAATGGGAGGATAGAAAATGTAAATTATTGATACATATTAGGAAGTGTGATATAGATAAATTTAAATTTATCGATGTTGAAAGAGTTTATATAGATAAAAATTAAGTTGAATATAAAAAAAAAAAAAATTAATTAATTTAAAATAAAAATAAAAATAAAAAAGTTGCCGAAATTGCCGTTCAGCTTATTGAACAACAAATGTGGCCCGGTCTTTAATGGATGCGTAGCAAACATGTTAACGGCCCCTAATCATTTAAACGGGTAAAATTAATGTCCGATGTGGATACACTAACACGAATTTTGACATTATTATGTTTAGTATATAATTAATATTTATGGCGGGAAAAACTTTTTAAAAATGATTTTAACTTTATTTTTATTTTATAGATATAGGTACATATGTAGATATAGATTCCAAACTTGATTATTTTTTAATTGAGAGTAAATTAAAATCATCTAAACCCAAATGACAAAAAATACAAATTTGTTACGCAGGATCCCTGATTCCGAAGCATGCGAGTTTACACTTGGGTCGAGAATTATTATATAAGGGGATCACTTCACAACTAAGCAACTCCTTTTCAATGGTTTGAGTTCGTGACGGTGTATGCTCCCTGGGCCATCTCGCCTCCTGGTGCTGTGGTGGGTGGTCCGACGGTGGGGCGTTCGGTTGTCGGTGGTGGGTAACCGACGGCTCTCGGTCGCTTTGGTGTTGGGGGATCTATCCGACTGGAACTCGCGGTGGGATTTCCACAAGAGGAGGTTTGGCTTGTGTGTCCGAATTTAGTCAGGCCTCGATTGCAATTTTCTAGATCTGGATTGAGTCGTGTTTCTGTTTTCTGTCGGGACCGTTCGCGCGTGTGGCTCGGTTGTCTGATGTCGATATGGAGGGCTCTTATTTGTTACCTTATTTCTTTCGTGTTTTGTTTGTGCGTGTTGTTTAGTATTTGTGGTTGTCTGTTGTCGGTTGTTTTCGTTGTTTTGTGTTGTTGTGTTGTCTAGCACGTGGTTTTTAGTTTT